GTTTGTACCCAAGCCAAACCACTTTTTGTGTAAGATTCTAAGAAAAGTGTTCCAAAATCAGTAACAGGTAGGGACATATTTGTGAATATGACAGAGTATTCTCGTTCTTTTTAATGGTGTTGAAGGCGTTCAGCAGATGATTTTTATTGTGGCAATGTGGTACGAAAATCCAACGCCAGGCATGAGCCAACGGGTAAGTAGGGTGTCTTTACACTATGATTCATATACTAAGCCCTGATGAAATTGCACAGAGAGAAAGTACTGAGTATAGTGTACAATTGATGTTTATGTTGTTTATTTCGGAAATAATGCTGATCTGGTGGTCCAAGTTTCCTACCGAGTCCCTTTAGTATTGAGCCACAATTCAGGAGAATCATGTTTTTGGAATGAACACTTTGGTGAACGCCATAATGCCATCGTGATTGCTTTTGAAGATGCCCATCATAAACTGTACTGATAACGTTAACACTCAATATTCATCTCCCACATAATTAATTCAATCCTGGTTAATATTCAGGACTGGATTTTATAACCATTATTGAATTTTTAGTGGCTTTGAATTGAAAGGCGTGTATTGAGTTACCTGGCTTTACATCAATCATTCTTGATTTTTGTTGGCCTCACTTATGGATATTTACTCCCAAAGTGCTTAAACTGGCCATTGTACATTTTCGCGTTTATAGCAATGATCTGATCATACTCCTCAAATCGTTTCAAGGTTGAATTTTCGTTCGAACGAAGAAACGATAACGAATTATAGTATGTTAATGAGATTCTGGAAGTTTTGCCTCAAAGAAGTCGTCTTTACTTTCCACAAAATTTATGTAGGGGTGACACGGGAATTTATGCCAATAGCGAAGACTTGAGGAACCTATTCAACCCTAGCTTGCAATCAAAGAACTCATCAAAACTGAATTCAAGAGCAGCAGCGGAGAGTATCCCATGTTTTGCGAAACTCCTCCCTTCTCAAGTCCCAATAGCTCTTAAAACGGTCTACCTTGGAGATACTAATGAAGATGGTGAGTTTCTGGGTGGATACAAGCAACGACTACTCAGAAACAACCAAAATTACACAATGCCTATTAACAATTCTGACAGCCTTTTCTAACTATCCTCACCAGACAAAGTATTGCTTAGTTTTGACGATATCAAGGATGGGTAACATTATCACCTCTACAAGTTCGCCCAACACGTTTAGTTCTGACAAAAACAGGAAGCTAATTACTAGCCGACAGACAAACAACGATTAATCCTAAACGATGGGCTTCTGGGTAACCCAATGGAGATTTGAGTTCCACAAACAATTCCAACGATTTTTCTATCTTCCACATCAAACCTCCTCTATGCTGATCGTTTCATAAGTTTTGGAAATGGTTTGGCGCGATCTTCAATTTTCTTGATCATTTCGATTGACATTGAATGTATTGATTCAAAGGGGTAAAGAGTATTTTCTGACAACAAAATTCTGCCCCACTTAGCTGCTTTCTCATTGAATCATATATGTCAGTAAGCTGGAACTTTGCTCTCAGGAAGATTTATAAAGAAACTTCTTGCTTCATCTCATTCACCTCGACCACGGATGGATGGAGGTGGTCAGAGTCAATCTCAACCTGAGGAATTGATTTCAAAGTTTAGAAAAAGCTGCCAAAAAAGGTTGGTGCAAAGGAAAAAAATGCAAAGAAGGCTGTTAAAGCTGCTCCTGCAGAGTAATCTCGTTTGTAATACAATCATGGTGCATTATGTTCTAATTGATATCCTTAAAGTTTTTACATGGTAATTAAAATTGAATTTGAAAATCAATGATGGTGTAGATAAAATTGAATTTGAAAAGCAATGATGGTGTGAGGCAACATGCACGCCTTCCAAGCGTGCGTCCGGGGTTCGATTCCCCGTCATTGCATTTTGTCTTTGGTGCCGTCCATCGACAAAAAGGTGATGATGGTGTAGTGGTAACACGGCTAGCGTTTACCTCAATGGCGCCCGAGTTTCGATTCCTCGTCATAACGATCTTGTTTATCTTCATCAGCAACTAGAAATATAAAATGTAATAATCTGTCATATATTAGTAGCATTTGGTGTTTGTTATATATTGTCCATTTGACATGAAAAAATGTGTTGCAAGACAACTGAACCTAATATATGAAAGAGGAGCGACAATCTTTGTATTATTACTAATTAATACCTATTTAATCACTCTGTGTATTACTATTGTTTAGAAGAGCCAGTAAAAACTCCCAAATTAGGTCATGTATCTCAATGAACACCATCTTCTAAATCAAAAAATACTTTTCGAAACTGCTTATCAAATACTAATATGACCGTGTCCTAGAATCAATAGCAATCGAAGTTATTGATCAATTGACCAATGAAAACGCGTCTTGGGCAACTGATATACTACGTCAGTCAATTTTGAGGTTTGAGATTCTCTTATCTAAAACCTTTTACAGAACATGACTGTATCGCTCGATTATGGCACGGCTTTCTTGCATACTTACACTGATAGTGGGTTGTCATGGGTTCAAACCGTTGGTAATGGATGACATGAGACTAACAGTGTAGGTTGTATCTATATCATCTATGGATATTTTGTTACGAAACAGTTGATATTATGGCAAGTG